GTCACTTACTGGAAGATTCTCTGCATCTTGAAGTCTTTAAACCATGATTTGAGGACTTCAGTGGCTCAGGTTTGATACAGGAGTGGGTGGGTAAGATTCTGTGGCCTGCGTTGTAAAGGAGGTCTGACTAGATGATCATAATGGTCCCTTCTGACCTTAAAGTCTATGATTCTATGACTAAGCCATTCCGTAAGTCCATGCAGCTATTCGTCACGGTGGCAGACAGGATGAAGGGCCTTCCTGTGGCCACCCAGAGTTTCATCATGGATCACCACCTGTATATTCATTTTTCCTATGAACAGGTGAAAGTGCCACTGCTGGCAATTGTGATCACCCATTCAACCAGGGCACAAGCCTCAGCCTTCCTGGGTCAGGTTCTGATCCAAAATATCTGCAGGGTTGCTATCTGGTCGTCTATCCACATGTTCACATCCCATTACGTGCTTATCCAGCAGGCCTGGGACAATGCTGGCTTTGGTAGAGCAGTGTTGCAAGCCACACAACCGTGAACTCCAAGCCAACCTCCAGGGGTACTGCTTGAGAGTCACCTAGAATGGAATTGACCTGAGCAAGCATTTGAAGAGAAAATTGTTACCTGCCTTTCGTAACTGTTCTTTCAGATGTGTTGCTTATGTCCATTCCACTACCCGCCTGCCTACCCTTCTGTCAGAGTTGCCCGGCAAGAAGGAACTGAAAGGGCGCAGGGTCAGCAGCACCTGATATACTGCCGCATGAGCATGGCACTCCAGAGGGCACCACGGCTGACCCTGCAGATACCGCTAAGGCAAAAAATTTTGACAACTATGCACGTGAATGCACACACACCTAGAGTGGAATGGACATGAGCAACACCTCTCGAACAACAGTTATGAAAGATAGGTAAGAGGTTTTTTCAGAATCATGTTCTTCCCTCTTTTTAGTGGATTTGTAGGCCTTTCCTGACAATTGGGAAGTGTCATGATCAGTCTGTTTCATCACCTGGAGAGCTTGCCTACGCTAAGTGCTAGGCCCCTAGAAGCTAGTATGTTGGGTTTCTAAATTGCCCAGCTTTCCTCCGCTGCTGTCACCTCTCCCCTCTAAGAACAACAGAATCCTCCTGTAGAGACTCTGAAAGGAGTAGCTAGCCTGGTAAATCTCCCCTCCACAGCCCCAGGAGCTGAGATTGCCTTCCAAAGCTGCTGTGGCTGGCACTTGGTTAATGTGGAACTCAGTTAGGGACTTCTGACCATTCTCCTAAAGGTCTAAACCAAATACCTTCTTGTTGGCCACTTGGTCCTCATGAGGTGCATTGAAGACTTGGCAGGTCTCTGTTCTAAAGCTAGCCTGAACCATAGAAATTAAGGGGTGTCAAGAACCTCTGACCCAGCTAGTGTCTCCCCTGCCAGTGTGCAGAAAAGCCTTGCCTGTTAGCAGGAATACTTCAGTACTACAGCGATGAGGAGGAGTAGAACATAGAGGATAGCATTTGAGTATTAGGGTAGACCTGGCACCATTGAGGAAACAGTGGGCAAAATATACTTGGTGTCAATCTCCCCAAGAAGTAGATGTCCTTCTGACCTTCCTGCAGAATCTGCTTCCCTGATATTCTAAACTGATTAGATTAATTCAGATCATGATCCTTTTGTGACCCATCTTAGTGACTTACCTGCTGTTTTCATGGGTCCTACTAAAACCCTGTTGCTGTACTGTCCTTGACCTCTGCACCTTTCAAGAACTTTGATATCCTAGAACACTCTGTTCCATATGTGGCCTTGCAACAGTTGTCCTCTTCCCCCTCCTCACTCATTATGTGTTTGCACATGTGATATTTCTTGAATGCTACAGTTGTCTCTGAGCTTCTTGAGTGTTGTATAGAACTGCAGCCAGCCTATATAACTTGGACCATTCTCTCTTCTTTGCTCTAGGCCCCTGATATGAGCAGTTCTGAAGATTTCCCCAGCTTTGGGGCTCAAGTGGCCCCCAAGACTCTTCCCTGGGGCCCCAAACGATAATGACCTGGAAGCAGAAACATCTCCTCCAGCTAGCTGACCTGACACTAACCTGCCACAAATACTTCCTGTTTGAATTCTGACCCAGCGGCTGGACCACAAGTAAATTGCCCTGCGAGGTCTCCTAATGCTGTGTGGAGTGCTAGAACCCATTCTACTTGTCTGTTGTTACTGGGTTTAGAACCTACTATAAATGGATAGTTCTCTTCCCCTCTCCCCCGTCCCCCTCCCCCCCCCCCAAAGCTTTCCACTCTGATTCAGACACAGCTTTTTGTTTGAAACGTCATAAGTGACTTTCATCTGGTCAGCTTCACAACTACCGAAGTGGTGACAGTGATCAGATAGCTTGAGCATGTCTTGCTAGGCACTCCAACCTTCATTAGGAGACCTCCTTTACTGTGGCTAGGAATCAACTTCCTGTCTCATGACCTCAGGAAATAAATTTCCTTGACTTTCTAAAAGCCAAAACGTTTGCCCTTTTTCCTTTGTGTTTATCCTGGACCTTACCTTACTATTGTAGAGTGCAATCAGCTTTTCCTTTGAACTGCCAAAAATCCATCTAACAGTGATAGTGGATGTGGGGAGTGAGCTACAAGTCTAAAGCTTAGAAACTGCTTTTAAAGGAACAATACAATAATCTGTAGAAGCAACGACACTGGAAGGGACCAGCAGTGACACAAGGGATCCCCTGGTCAAGTAGAAAAGCCTTTAAGTGATATGTGACACTGAGCGTGTCCATGTGTAGCATTGAGAGCCTTGATTCTCACATGCACACTTGATGAGTCTTCCAACATGTGAGAGTAAAAAATACAGCTACTTCCCACTGTTCCCTTTTCTCCCCTGTTTGTTCTTCCCAACAGCAGCAGAGCTGGTCAGAGCCAGGACATGACAGTATTATGGGGTGCAACAGAATTTGGGTCAGCCCAGGTTGCTATGATAACATGGCCCAGGAGCTAGCTGATAGGAACTGCAATGCTGAAGCTACATAATTTTCCCCCTCCTGCTGACAGCATTTGGACACAAGGGGTAGGGAATTTGTCACTATTTGCTATTGCCTTTCTACCTCAAAAACCAGTCTGGGGGTGGCCTCCTAGTCTAGAGCATCAGCACTGATGCTAACCTGCTCATCTCACTGTGGGGGCCAGAGCTGAATTCTCTGCACCGGGTGCAGGGAGAGCCGAAGAGCATCAATCAGCATATGAAGCTGTTGGAAACTCACATGCGCGTGAAACTAAGAGCAAGTTACGGTGTAACATACTCCCACCCCTTAGAGCAGTAGGACTCAGCCAGAAGGTGGGCTTGGTTTCAGGGAAGGGAAGAGAGGCAGGTTGCATGTCAGCTCTGAGCTACAGAAAGTCAAGCTGCTCTGAAGTACACAGAGGCAAAGAGTGCAGGGAGCACTAAGGCCCAGGGCTTGCCACTGTATGTGGTGAATCCCATGCTCAGTACCATAGCATCTTGGTCCCTGAGTTGCTGAACCCTAAGCACTGCCACAGCTTGCTCAAAGGAGGCTTCTCTAGTGAGCTGCTCACTCGGCCAGAGAGAAATTGTGTTTGGTGTGGTGAGGGAGTGGGGTCTCCTCCTTTCCTACCTCCATTTCCCTACTGCTTCAGCGCCTGTGCAAGCAAGTCTCCAGTCTCTCCCCAATAATGCTGACTGGGGCAAGGGTCATTATGTTGAAAGGCTGGCCCCAGTTCTCTTGCTGTTCCCAGCACTGCACCTGTGTTAAAAGTGAGGCTTAGAAATGCTGACATTTCTTCTTTTCCCCAACCCCCTCTGCTCTAGCCCTCTTCGGAAGAGGACCTTAGCCCAGAAGTCAGACACCAAAATGTCCTGATGCTTACAGTGAAGTGGAGAATTGTGGTCAACTGAACAAGCCAGGTCCCAGAACTATGCAAAGGCAGTGGTGACTAACTTGACCACATATCAGCCCCATGGTAGATGTCTAAAGGGGGGTGGCTGACCAAATGAGGGTAGTGCCCTAATCCCCTCCTTTTCAGCTAAAGGGACTTTGAAAAGGGCTAGACAACCCAGATGGGGAAGGGGTATATCTAGAGGTTATCAAGCCTTCCCTCCTTCTCTTCCCCCCCCTCCGCAAAAAAAAACAACCCCCTCCCCCCCCATCAGTTGCCCCGCTTGGCTTGAATTAAATTCAGGGTCCCCTACATGCTAAAAGTCATGAAGTGATTGTACCTAGTACTGTCTCCTGCTGCCCCTCAGTCTGTAGCAGATGCTCTGGTATGTGCTCCATTTCCTTTATTTTCAACGTCTTCCATAGTGTATGTTTCCATGGCAATGATCCCTTGGCCTTAACTTTGGAATTTGGAGACTATATGCAAACATGTAAAAAGGCTCATGAGTATGGATGACACTGGAATTTTATAAATTCTAAAATAAAAACCTGAAACAGCTTGGAGTGTTGTATTTCTCTGCCCATGGTTTGTGAAGAGATTGCTTCTCCATGTACATTCGGGCAGGGGCTGGCCTAATCTTCATAGGTTCTTTCAGACTTAAGCTGTCATCTTAAAGTGTCAGTTGTTCCCTGTCTGGATTTATTACCTACTACCCAGGCTCAGTCATCCTACCAGAGTGCAGGTCCTAAGGAGGAAGAGGTATTAAGGCCAGCACTAGTGAAGTGGGTGCCCTCAGGGCCCCCTCTCCATGCCTACCACTGTAAAGAACCCCAGTTACTGCCCAGGCTCTCCCCTCCTATCCCCCGCTCTCCTCTCTAAGGGAACAGAGTGCATAACTCCACATTTCCTCTCTCTGGTAACAGGAAGGGGGGAGGAAATTAGGCTTGCTCCTGTCTGACAACATGCTATGGTTTAGACTTCCCTTGAGCCCGTGCTGCAGCTGTGTAAGAGCCAGGCCTGTTGAATTGCTGCTTCCCACCTCACTGGAGCAGTGAGACTTGTGTCATTTCAGCCTGAAGCACTGCTTCTCCCACCTACCATCCTCTTGCCAGCTGAGGGCCATACAGCCCACCTGTCTGCTACCATAGCTCAGAGCAAGAAGGAATTTCTTCCAACCCCAAAGTCAGCCAGCTCCAACTTTAGTTTAACCTGCAGGGCTCTAAGGACTTAGCTGGTATTCAAGTATGCCTGTCACTGTACTATTAATTGGCGTGCTTTATTTATCCATGAAATTACAATTCTCCACTCTGAAATTTCACTAAAATAATTCATTCCTCTGCAACGTTTCTTATATACAACAGCTGCCCAGCTTAGGGTCAGAGCCAAGTTGAGTTCATCTCTTCCAAAGGAGAGTGCTAGAAAGCACATGCTCCATGGCTGAACTCAGTTTCATTCACCCGCACATAGAAGCAGTCACCATTTATTGTGTTTAAAACTGAGTCAACAGCACTTCATGGGGATTCTGCTTCAGGCTCAAACTGGTGCTGAGGATGAGCTTCCGGACTAGCAGCTAATGTGTGTGTAGATGTTGTCGTCTGCAGTGGGGTAGGCTCCTGGTTTTCATGTGTCCCACCTCGTTCCCAGTCTTTGGGTGCTGTTTGCATAGTGCTGGAGGTGGCTCTGACTTCCTTTCTCTCAAAGAGGACCTATCTCAGCAATGGATCAAAAGAAGAAAGGACAATTAGTATCCACAGCATTGTAGCTTTCTAACTGTTTTGGCATTAGCTATGTTTAAGGGAGGAAAGCATGAGTTCCTGGCTTCATCAAGTATGTAATTTTAAGACTTAGGGGGCAGAACTGACAGAATCAGACAAGCCTGTCCAGAACCTACAGCCAGAAGAAAACTTGGGGAACAGAAATGAGTGAAGAGATTAGCAATGACCATGGAGAAAGGGGCTATGAACAAGGAGCCCCCCAGCTGCTAATGAAACATCTGAAGACCAAAAGGCATGGGGTGTTACTGTAGTGCATTTCATCTTGACATCTTCCAGGGGTGGGCAGTTGGAGTCTGCTTTCCTGTGGGCATCCCGAGTAAATAAAAAGATGTGAGGGTCTGTTCAAAAGCATCTGGCGGTCCAGATGTGGCCCACGGCCCACCTACTGACTACCCGATGTAGAATAAAGACCATGGGTCCTGAGATTTACCTTGTTCTCAGCCAGTGCCTGCTTCGCCAGATAACGTTCACGCTTCACCTTGATCTGCAGTGACTCAGGAATGTCAGGCACCATCAGGTCTATCAGACGAGCAATAAAGAAAACCACATGCTGGAAACAAGAGGAAAAGAGCAATGTGTCCAATCAGACAGCTGATTCTTTTCAAAGCAAGTCCAGATGAGTAAGGAACAGCACAGAAGTGCCTGACTGCAGGGAATGGGACAGGCACTGAAAAGACTTGAACCAAGCAGTATCCCCCAGAGAGCACACTCTCCAATTCCACAGGGGCAACGTCTATGCCTGGCCAGAAACAGGCAGTGCTGGACAGTACATGCCCTGGGGACAGGTGTAGAAAAAAAACTTAGAATGAGAAATGGGACAGCAAAGGAATAAAACTTTGGCAGGGGGAACTGATTGAGGAAAATGAGAGGGAGGTACCTCAAACACTATAATAAAGCCCAGGCGAATTGCTAGTAGGTTCCAATAGGTTAGCGAGTACCTTCCGCTCTCATCCCTGTATGCACGGTACCTGGGGAAGAGAAGATAACATTGCACCTAGATGCGTCACATCTGGGAAAGAGGAGCCCTTGCATGTCAACATCCTCAGGGCAACCACTAGTAGTCTCACTCCTACAACTTTGCATTCTGTGACTTCATCCACATACGTAATCACTCTTAAGGATTAATAACTGCTGGCATTTATCTGACCCATGAACTGTCTGGGTGTAAGGCATGGCTAATGCCAACTCTCCAGGAGGGAGTATGTGCCCATTCCTCCAGGACTGGCAAGCAGCAGCAAGGTAAATCAGTCACAGTAGAAGTAGCTCAGTTAAAAAAACACATTAAAGTTCCTTCAAAACTAATTTACAACAAGAGCACAGAGGTGAGCCCCCACATACATGAAGGAGGACCCGAGTGTCACTCCCCTAGGGAAGCTAATGCTGCACTGCCTAACTCAGGTGTAAATTGGATGTGTCTATGGAATGGTGTATCTTTTGTCCCCTGATAAACTGAACTAGCCTTTGGGTCTCCCTTCCCTCTCCCACCCCTTGCTGCATGGGGCAGCATTCTCAATAATCGGTGTGAAATAATCCTGTGTGAGACCTGTGCTAAAGTAAGTGGAAACAAAGCATGTGCCTTCCTGAACCCATCTTTCACTCCCAAACATGGCTGGGGCCCCACAGAGGAGAGAACTGTCCTGAAGAGAAAACAAACACTAGGAAAAATCAGAGGTTGCAATTCAAATGGAGAATGGGAAGGAGTTTTGTCCTGAGGGGCCCCCCCCCCAAAAAAAGCAGCTGAGCTGGGACTCCTACCTGCACGTGACATTGTGCTGTGAGGCAAAGTGCTTTGGAGCATACGCCAGGGTGAAATTAACATAACCCTGCAGGTCACTGGCGCGGGTGTACTGATAATACAGCCGGGGCAAGAAGTCTGAAGTGAAGGCAATCAAGAAGGCCTGAAATAAGGAGGAAAACACTAGTGCTACAGCCAGGTTCCTACCACATTACAGATGTCCACACATCTTTTCAGCATACCTGCTTGAGCCTCAAGCTAAGTGTTGTTACTCTGAAGCTTTGTATGACTCTTGCGTTTGGCTGGACCACCTCTCCCAGACACCAACCCCCCACCCAAACTCTGACCCTGCACTTCCTACTGAGGCAAGTCCCCAGTGAAAGTTTGGATTGAGGCTTGCCAGCCCTGCAGGCTCACTAGCAATTATAGCAGCAAGCGTTTATTCTTCAAATGCAGACACCCTTCAGTACTGCCCAGCTCTCACTGGTCATTGAAAACCAGTCCCATTGTGCTTGGGAATTAAGCTGCAGAGATGAGGAACCCGTCAGAGCAGGCTGTGTCAGGTAACACTGCTCCAATAGTAGAGTACCTTTTTAAGGGGTTACTGAGCCAGAGGCGTGAGCTGTAGCAGCCCTCGAATCTGAGCTTGGTTCTGTCACATACGACCGCTCTGCATACGCTCCAGTTACTATATCGTGTCTACAGACTTGTATCTGCCAAGTGGGATTTCACTAACATTCTCTTTAGTTCTGGCTTTCAGTCCCCTGTCCCCAATACCGGTCTGCTCAGTGGCTGCCTTCAAACTCCACAATGCTACATGATTATATTAACTGTCAGCAACGTGGCTGGCTGTGTCTGAATGCTGGGAGCTGGCTTCTCCTCCCTCTCCCTCACTGCCCAGCGCTACTCACGTTACTGATGACAGCCAAGTGGGTGATGACCTCCAGGATATAAAACCAGATGCCAATGCCCTGGGCCCGCTCAGCCACAGGACGACGGTACTCGCAGACAAACTTCTGTGCATCCAGGCGGATCTCCACCCAGTTGTTGAGCAAGGCGAAAAGGGGCGCCAGAGGACAAGCTGCCACAAAGATAGTGATGAATCCAAATTGCAGGACTGTTGCGCAGAAGGAAAGAATCATGAGAGCTCACATTCACAGTGGGCAAGCGGAGCAGAGAATGGCTTGTGTGAGCTGTGTTCAGCAGTGATCGTGGCCTGTCTGGTCCCCCTTCCCCTCCCCATTGTCTCTGGTTTCTGAAGGATAAGAACAGGGAGTCCCCAGGGAATATGTTGCAATCCAAAGATCAGTGGGCCACTGTTTGGTTTGTTCCTGGAGATGCACTGGCCTCTGCTTTCCATCTGTAATAGGCTGCCAGCATCACCTGACAGATCCTGGTAAGAAGGAGCTCCCTCAGGCCATGAGGCATGCTTTACTAGTATAGGAATGCCCGTATGGTGTACCAGCCAGGCACTCCTGGCATGAATGCAACTAGACCTGGGGGTACCAGGATAGTGAAACCTCCGCCCATGAGCCAAACAAGCTAGACTGGTAAAAGCTGAGCTGGTATAACTGCATCTACATGGACTTCTGCTGGCACAGCTCTGTCAGCCATCACCCCTAGCCACCTGACTGACACACCTGGGCCGGCAGCATCCATAGTGTGGCCATGGCAATCCATAGTGTGGCCAATTTCCCCTCTCGGAGGCAGAGTTGTCTCTCTGGGGTCAGTTTCACAAGGCTACCACCTCTAATGGAGGGTTTCCTTAGACCTTTGACTGCAATCCCAGAGCTCAGAATATTCAACACCAAGGCTAGGCAGGCGAGTTCACTCTCTAGGGCTTCACTCAAGTGAACGTGCTAGAGAAAGTGCTGCTTCCCAAATCATCACCACTAGCGGGCACCAGAGAGCATGTCAGCGGGATAAGTGATTGATGCACATGCAATCAACACTATCGATTGCAAAAACTTCCTCCCTTGAGGAAGTCTCTGACTTCCAGCCTCTTCTACTGGTGCTGTCAATGATCAGGTGACCCCGCTTGGCCAAGACACTTTGCTAGTAGTCTCCCAAAGTGGCAGACTTGGCATTTGGTTCCTACCCATTTCCAGGTACTCGTCAAACAGCCCCTCACAGACCAGGAGCTCGTAGTTGCTCTCCCAGGGCACCTGCTGCGCCAGGCCCAATTGGGCCTCCTTGCTTTTCCTCTTTTTGGATCGAAGCTTGTACTTCTGCCACCAGCCTTTCAGCTTCCTGGGGGAGCAGAGAAAGGGTGATGCCTCAGCAGACACTGAAGTGGCCAGTCTCACTCTTACTGGCCTGATAGGCTCTGCTGGCTCTCCAAGTTGCCCTGGCATTTTCAGGCAGCTAGCATCAGAGGGACCTTCGGCAGTGCTGCCAACACACCCTGACCCAGCCCTAGTGCCAGCCAGGAATCCAGGGTGGAGGAAAGTGTCTTTGCTTTCCTATTTTGAACAGGGCCAGACTCTCTAGACAGGCTGGACTGGGCTTGGCACCAGAGTAGGATGGGAGCAAAGGTGGTTTTAAGTCCCCTTTTTGTGTCGAATTGTGGGGTGAGGCCCCAGTGAAACACTGCTCTAATGCATGCCCAGCAGCCCATGGTCTGGCAGCTAGGGATCATTGGCAGAGATGCCTTTGCCCTGGGAATGACAGAGGACAAACGTGGAGAGTCTCGGTTGAGCTGAGCTTGGACATTACTCCAGAAAAGGGCCATGAAAATTCCCTCCCAGCTCCAGCATTCCTGGCCTGGTTCACTTCCCCCAATGCCTCCTCTGGCAGGAGCCCATGATGAAGAATCCTTGGGCAGACAGAGCTTGTGGGCAGGAGGCGGGGCAGTGGCAGTGGGAAGCCAGAGGCTCCATAATGCACACGGCTAACTTGCCGAGAGACCTATTGCAAAACAACTTTATTCTGCTTTGACTGGTTCACGTGGGCTGTGGATCCCCCACTCTCATTGTCAATCTGTCACAGCAACGCCCACCAGTGGTCACAACCTGCAACTTTCCCCTCTTCCTTCACTAGTGGGAGGAGAGGGCAGTGGTCACAGGCCCTGGCGCATCTGGGCACTGGCCCTGTCTTAGCTCGGCCCCATAGGTCAAACCACAGCCATCAGACCACTTGGGGCAGGTGCTGCAGCCACCTGCCAAGCACAAGACAAGCAGATGGGGCCGCACACACAGGTGTCTTTACCCTGATTGAGTCCCCCTCCCCCTGGTCCCTGTGGAGCTGGGCTCTGGTCCTCCACCACCCCCTGCCCTGATAGCACACTCGGTACTTACGGGATGACGATTTCCTGCACGTTGTTAATTACTTGTTTCCCCACCATGATGACCAGCAGCTCTTGGGCGAGTTCAATGAGACAGCCGCCAGCCCCGCACTGGGTGGGTAGGACAGAGGCACATCAGCTCCGCTGCACATTGCCCTCAAGCTCAGAAGGTTCGAGTGGGGGTGGGGGGGCCCTACCAGGTTCCACCTCCCACAGGAAAGGCTACTCCTGAGCCACGCAGGCTGGTGCACTGCGGCCCCCAGCATCATTGCCATGTCCTGGCGTCAGTGGTGTCCCAGCAGCCAGAGGAGCAGGAGGCAGCCTGCAGCACCAGGCCCCCAGCAGCCATTCCCAACCCTCAAGGTAGCCCCAGGGGCCGACTGCTGGGTGGGGTGGGCCAGGAACAAGTGGCCCCAGCTGCTGCCACTAGTCTTTGGACAGATGAGCAGAGGGGGCTCTTGAGGTGGCTGGGGCAGGAGTGGAGTCTGACCACCCCCACTTATCTTTGGTCCTGGGGGGATTAGCAGCCAGAGAGGGGGATTCCCCAGGCATGCCCCTGCGCCTCTCTGCACTATGCCCACATCCTGCCTGGGCCTTCCTCACTCCCAGAGGAGCCTGTGTGTCAGTCCTGTCAGAGGTCTTGGAGGCAGCACACAAGCTCGGGCTGGGGCCAGGCCAGGAGCCCACTACAATGGCACTGAAGCTGGCTATGGCCTCCCTCCTCCTCTGGCCAGGGCTGTCCTGAGAACTTTGGAGCCTTTCCTCATGCACAGTGCTGGGCAGCAACTGGGGTGTTTCCTGCCACCCCAGCAAAGGGTCCCCATTCTGTTTGGCAGGTTACCTCACACTGTCCCTCACCCGAGACTCCAACCTCCTTTTAACCCCATGCTCTGGTGTTCCTAAACCTCCGATTGCCAGACACTGCTACTGGACGATGGGGGATGGACACTCGCTAATTGCCCTGTTCCGTTCACTCCCTTTGAAGCACCTGGCACTGGTTGTGTCCAGGGCCGCCCAGAGGATTCAGGAGGCCTGGGGCAAAGCAATTTCGGGGGCCCCTTCCATAAAAAAAAGTTGCAATACTATAAAATACTATATTCTCGTGGGGGCACCTGTGGGGCCTGGGGCAAATTGCCCCACTTGCCCCCCCCCCCAGGTGGCCCTGGCTGTGTCAGGACTCTAGGCCAGAAGGACCATTGATCTGACCCAGCATGGCCTTTCTTATGTTCTCAACCTTTATCAGCTGATACTTACGTCCTCGTTGCGGATCCCAAGCAAGGTCTTGTAGTGCCCTGGGTAGCCTACAAACCTGGAAAATCCAGGATGGCAAGACAGAGTAATAAATCCACAGCTGAACCCCTTGCTCCCCCACATCAATCTCTTATTCCTCCTGAGGCTACTCGGGAGGTGGTGCTGTCATGCACCGTGCCCTCTCCCACATCCCAGCCACCCTTGTCCATTGGGAGGCTGAGGACGCCACTCAGCCAGTCCTGCTGGATTGAATGAGACAAGGTCAGACCTACTTCATCTTCTTCTCCCTCAGCCCACATCTGAAGCCAGCACTGACGATACCCTGTGGATGTGCATGGAGGCCAGCTCTGCCTGCCAGGAACATCCCGTGATGGAAGCATGTGTGTCAGAAATTTCTCACTCACCCTGTGCCCTGTTCTTCCCAACAGAGGGGAAAGGAGGGACACAGTGCAATGGTGTATGTCTGAAAGGAGATCATCAAAGGGCACCCCTGGACTTGCCCTTCATGTTAATTTCATCCCTTCCATGTGTGAGAGGCATTTGAAGCAAAACTTTAGCCCACTACATACAAGGATGCTGGCTGCAATTACCCCCAGCACTCCCCTGTTTACCCCTCTGCTTCAGATCCCGTTTCCATCAGTTCTGGGGAGCAGCATGGTCCTGGATCAGGCCTGGGCTGGAACTCCAGCCCTGCGTGCCATCCCCAGATCTGTCACTGCCCTGCTGTGAGACCTGGGCAGGTCACATCACTCGCCTGTGCCCGTTTCCTCTCCCACCCACTGTTTCAATTGTATGCTCCTTGGGGCTGGGTCTTACTGCGTGTGCAGCGCCCGGCAACACAACGGGGCCCTGATCTTAGCGGGTGTCTCTATATAAAATAATGGCGGTTGGGGCCTTGCAACAGGGTCCGCCAGTTGCTGATACAGCAGACCTTCCCCGTGCAACACAGCGACAGTCTGGCTTCCCTTCAGAATCCCAGCTCTGCACACAACAAGCACCCTCATCACCACCAGGGAGCAGAAGCCCCAAGCTGCCCAAGGAGTCTCAGCTCTGAGCTTTTGAGGGGCTTCCCCATGGGCATGTGCTTCCCAAACAGAGACCCCTCTGATACAGGACCCCCAGCCCCTCCACAGTCTGAACAACTGGCTGTGTGTGCCATGGGATCATACACTGAAAAGGCCATATAGCTCTCCGACATGCTCACTGCACGCCTGGACGGATACAGGGCTGCTTTAGAGCTACACAGGCACAAGGGTGGTTTCTAGTTGCCCCTTCCCACATTAGAATTGTGCCGGGAACCCCCACATTCCATCGCATGCCACTCATTGCCTCTAGATGGCAGCAGTGCTGCAGCTTCCCTGTCTCTCTCTCTCTCTCGCAGTGGTTCTAAAACTCCCCCCCCCCCCATACACACCCCACCCCCCGCGGACCACTTGAAAATTGCTGAGGGTCTCGGCAGACAGGGCCGGCTCTAGGCACCAGCAAAACAAACTGGTGCTTGGGGCTGCACATTTCTAGGGGCGGCATGGCCGGCGCCAGAATGCCGCCCCTAAAAATGTGCCCCGGCCGCCCTAGCTCACCTCCACTGCT